CGGGGAGAAGGTCTGAAAGAAATCAACTCCCTGTCGCTGACTGAAGCCACGAGCCACGTAGCGCGCGTTGAAGACAGGCGGAGAACCCGCCGGCCGCTTCACCCTGAAAATCCACATGCCACTGACAATGTTCGCCCCAGGAGGGGGAACAGCGTCCACGTAGGTGCCTGTGGACTTCCAGGAAGCCATCTCTGCGTCCATGGCTGACTGCCACTGAGAGGAGTAGGGACCGGCCATCGCCTCTGCGTAAGAGCGTGGGGTCGGGATGTCTAGAGCATCCGGGTCTCCCTCACGGGCAACAAGCATGGACACAAGATGGGGCAAAGCGGCGGCAAAGCACTGGAACTCCTCCTGCCTGTCCTCAAGGACGTCCGTGCCAAGAGCACAGTCACCCCCAACGGACGGAGGACAGGCAGACGCAGACGCAGCAGACGCAGACTCAGCAGACTCAGCAGACGCATCAACAAGACTGGTAGCGTAGTCTAAACGACACGCAGCAGCAAAGTCGACCAGCTCCGCAACTAGGGCAGACGCAGCAGCGGACTCAAAGGAAGGGTCAGTGACAAGAGAAGCAAGAAGACGCGTGACAGTAGGACTGGCAGCACGGCGAGAGTCCGACTCCGGGTCGTCAAGAGTAGGAAGAGAGGACTCAGGAGGAGAAGGCAAAGGGGCACGCAGAGGAGCAGTGGACGGACGCAGAGACATTTGGTGCGTGCCAGGGACAGGAGGAGGACGCTGACGCGAACCGCGACCACTAGGGCGAGCAGCTCGGACTGGCGACGCAGGGCGGGACGCAGGCTCACGACGCTCAGCAAGACCTCTAGTAGGACCAGCGTAGGGAGAAGGAGAAGGCAGGGGAGAGGCGGGCTGTAACTGTGACTGCGACGGGACAGGCCGTGGACACTCTACGGAAGGAGAAGGACCAGTGGAAGGCGGGAGACCAAGAACCTGCTGGAGGAGCGGAACGAAGTACGGCCGAGGCCGCGCAGCACCGCCAGAGACAGCAGGGACAGCACCAACACCTCCAGAGGCAGCACCAGCACCAGTAGCAGCTCCAACTCCAGCACCTCCAGCAGAGCCAGAAGTACCCTCAGGAGGACCGACAGTCGTAGTCTCAGCGCAAGCATCTGCAGCAGCTCCAGCTCCAGAGGCACCCCCGGGCCCGGCAGCTCCAGTACTCGCAGTACGAGCACCTCCGGGACCCGTGGTACCAGCCCCCTTGGCAGCAACAGAACCTCCAGCACCCGCAGCACCCCCAACTCCAGCAGCGCGCCTCCAGCGCCTGGCAAACCACTCACGTAGCTCTAGAGGAGAGAGCGGCTCGCGGCTCGAACCACCAGGAAGAGGAGCAACAGGCGAAGCACTCCCAGACGCAGTACCCCCAGGCTCAGCACCCCCAGGCTCAGCACCCCCAGTCGCAGTACTCCCAGGCTCAGCACCCCCACGCTCAGCACCCCCAGGCTCAGCAATCCCATTCTGCTGTGGAGAGTCCGGAAGCGTGAAGGTCTGGTGGATGCCTCGTGCACGACAGTAGGCTCGCAGAAGGCCGGAGGAGAACTCTCCGCCTCTGTCCGAGTGCAGACGCAAAACAGGAAAGTCCGAGCCGAAGCTCCGCCTGAGCTGGAGACGAGCTGCGCGGATCCAGTCGATCAACACCTCAGTGACCTCACCCTTGGTGCGCAAGGGGAAGACTGTGGTGTAACGAGAGTAGTCGTCAACCACCAGCAGGAAGTAGCGCTCGTGACCCTGTCCACGGACGCGGGCTGGGCCCCACACGTCCATGTGAAGCGTCTGCATCGGGGCCTCCGTCAGAGGAAAGGGGGAGGAGTGAGGGGTAGCCCGCAGGCGACCCTCAACACAGGGGACACAGGGAGGACCAGGCCCCGGAGGAAGGGGAGGGAGGGACCGAGGAAGACCAGAGACAAGAAGGCGAGAGGCCATGCCCCGGAGACGAGGCAGGGAGGGGTGACCCATCATGTGGTGCCACAGGAGGGTCTCGTGAGACAGGAGGCGACACGAGCAGGGGGCAGACTCAGGACCAGACCTGGACGCTGCAGCAAACACCTGGCCCGACGCTGCTACCTGACCAGACGTAGGAGGAGGAGACCGAACAGTGAGTGTGTACATGCTCGACCCCGGCCCACGTGTGAACGTGGTCAAGTGTCGACCCGTGTCCGCGTCCGTGCAGTGGGTATCCCGTCGGCGCGCAGGGGTGAACTGGTCAACCCCTGCATCCTGTAGGTCAGCACCCGCCACCAAGTTCGTAGAGAACGAGGGGAGGTAGAGACCGGACAGGGCGCCGGACGGGACCGCAGGGCACGGCAGGACAGTGGAGTAGCGAGCCAGAACAGGACCCCCAGAGGGGTCCGCCAGGGAGACCGCCACTGGCCGACTGAGCGGCGTGAGTGTGGTGCGGTCTCGAAAGAAGGAGCGAGACGCCCCAGAGTCAAGAGTGAAGGTGAGAGAGGGCGGAGCCGACGCAGTACCTGAGAGAGCAGACTCACCAGCACCTGAGGACACAGACTCACTGGCACCTAGAGCGACAGCCTCACCAGCACCTGGAGCAGCAGCCTCAACAGCACCTAGAGCCGCAGTACCAATGCCCGGGTCGGGCGGGAAACACCGGTTACAGTCACCCTCCTCACTAATAGTCACAGCATACATGGCACGAAGAATAGCATCAAAGTCAAGATCAAAGATAGCTACTCCTGCCCTAGACAGCTGGTCCCAGCGAGGGATCTCAGAGGCGTCAGGGAACTGGCGGCGCCAAGCGTCAGTCAGGCGGCCGAAGCAGCGCTGAACGGAGTGAGGACCACCACACTGCTCACCCGCACGGTCGCCAGTGCGCAGGACGTAGGTGCACGGACCAGTACCCCCACCCCTTTGACGTGCAGCGTACCACTCACGGAGCTGCTGCAGGGAGAGGGTCTCCTGACCACGCTGCTGCTGCTGGCGCTGACCACCACCGGAGCCACTCCTCCGCGACGAGCCACGACCGCCGCCGCCCCCTCCGCCGCCTCCTCCGCCGCCACCGCCACCACCTCCACCGCCACCGCCACCTCCACCGTCGCTGCCGCCACCACCGCCTCCGCCTCCACCCCCACCACCACCGCCACTGCCGCCCCCGCCTCCACTGCCGCCGCTGACACCTCCACTCCCGCCACCACTCCCGCTACCACCCTCACCTCCTCCGCTGCCTCCACCGCCGCCTCCACCGCCCCTGCCGCCTCCCCCACCGCCCCTGCCTCCCTTGCTCTTGCCAGAGCGACGTCTCCCACTGGGGGCAGACGCCGCACCGACCGACCCAAAACCAACTAGGTCGGCCGTAGCAGCAGAGGCAACAGAGGGCAGGAGGGGGGAGGGGGAACACCCCTCAAAGATGGGGGAGCGCGGGTCACCACGAGAGGCCCCTACAGCGAGAATGCTCTTCTCGGCCGCTAGGAGGGACTTCTCGAGGAGCTCAACGGTGAGAGTGGTGGGGCAGACTGAGAGTAAGTCGTCCTTGACTCCTCGAAGGGAGTCAGGGAGGCGGGTGACAATGTAGTAGAGAGTGAAGTACTGGGGGGGGGGGTTCTTGGCGCAGAACTCAGCAGGAAGCGCAGCGCGGAAGCGAGCGTCACTAGTGCGCAGGTGGGTAATGAGGTCGGCGACTGTGGCAAAAGCAGCAAGGTCGGGAAAGAGGTACGGTAGCATGAGGCGGCTCAGTGCAGCAGTGGCAGGGGTGGAGTAGCGTGCAATAACGGCGTCGTACAAGGTCTTAGCACTCTTGTACGACCCAAAGTGCGCACGCTCAGCAGGGGGGAGGTGGCGACGCACAGCAAGACGTGCAGCAGCATCGCGAGTGGCCCACTGTGAGCGAACAGTGGCATCCTCAGTAGCAGCAGGGGCAGGAGAGGCACCAGAGGTGAGATCAAAGAGAGAGAGTCCGTCAGCTCTGTCGCACTGTAGGAAAAGCAGTAGGTCGTCTACCCACACGTCAAAGTCGATGGCTCTGCCCTCAGCGTCAAAAGTGAGAACACTGGGGGTAGCCATGACAGCAGTAGGGTGAGGGCAGTGCGCAGAGTAAAGCTCAGTGCTCACCAGACAGGGCAGTGCAGGGAGGGCTCGGGCGGCTCGGCGGCTCGGGGCGGCTCGGCTGCTGGGGCGGCACGGCTGCTGGGGCGGCTCGGCGCTCGGGGCGGCTCGGCTGCTGGGGCGGCTCGACTGCTGCGGCGGCTCGGCTGCTGCGGCGGCTCGGCTGCTGGAGGCGGCTCGGCTGCTATGGCGGCTCGGCTGCTGGGGCGGCGGGGCCGGTAGGTGCAGCGGCGGGCCGGCAGGTGTAGCGGCGGGCCGGAAGGTGCAGCGGCGGGGCCGTCAGGTGGTGCGGCGGGCCGGCAGGTGCAGCGGCGGGGCCGGCAGGTGCAGCGGCGGGGCCGTCAGGTGCAGCGGCGGGCCGGCAGGTGCAGCGGCGGGGCCGTCAGGTGGTGCGGCGGGCCAGCAGGTGCAGCGGCGGGGCCGTCAGGTGGTGCGGTGGGCCAGCAGGTGCAGTGGCGGGCCGGCAGGTGCAGCGGCGGGGCCGTCAGGTGCTGCGGCGGGCCGGCGGGTGCAGCTGCGGGGCCGTCATGCGCAGCTGCGGGGCCGGCAGAGCAGGCCGCGGGGCCGCGCCGTAGCGAGCGGCGGGGCCGCGGGTGAGCAGGCGGCGGGGCCGCGTCTGAGAGGGCGGCGGGGCCGCGTCGTAGTAGGCGGCGGGGCCGCGTTCGAGAAGGGCGGCGGGGCCGCGTTCGAGAGGGCGGCGGGGCCGCGTTCGAGAAGGGCGGCGGGGCCGCGTTCGAGAGGGCGGCGGGGCCGCGTTCGAGAAGGGCGGCGGGGCCGCGTTCGAGAGGGCGGCGGGGCCGCGTTCGAGAAATGGCGGCGGGGCCGCGTCAGAGAGGGCGGCAGGGCCGCGAGGGAAGGGCGACACGGAGGGTCGCTCGAGCGAGAGGAAAAAAGTTGGCGCGCCTCGGGGCGCGCTTCGGTGGGCCCTAGGCTAAGTTCCCACAGGGAACCCGCTCTATACCATGTTGAGTTGAGAGAGGAATGAAATGACTAAGGAAAGATTGGGTACAAATACAACCCTAGAAACCTGTACCCCATATGTGCTACCCCAGTATAGCCTACAGCAACTATGTCATATAAATCTGACAGCGACGTGGATTGTCGCGTGGTACGGGAGACCTCCAAAGGCCATCGCGGCTGTTATGTAAGGCCGGGTCGCGGTCTTTGGATCGATAGTAGCCGCAGCAGCAGTATCGCAGTTCTTGCCACGTGCATCATGATCCACCTTGGTCGTTCCAGACATGGCGAAGCCAAACACGATTTCATCCAAGCGACGCGACAAGGTGAGTCCGTTCGTCGTCGCGACGAAAAACGCGATTAGCACGGGCCACGTCATGTGCCCCGAACCGAACAATCCCACCGCCACGACACCAATCGCGTACTGCGCGAATCGATACAAACGCGCGACCCGCTCGGGCCCCAATCGCGCGGTCAACGTGATCTTGCCGCATTGGAGGTCCGATTCGATGTCGGGGAGATTCATAACCATCATCCGCACGAATTGCTGGACGAATAACAGCGGGACGATCGCGCACAGCAACGTCGGAAGCGCGAACGCGTCGTCGCGCCGCTGCATTAGCGCGCCCATCGCGGGAACGCACCACGTCAGAACGACTGCCACCGTCGCTTCGCCGAAGTCGCGATACTGCAGCTTGAAGGGCGGCGCGGCGTACGCGCACGAGAGGAACATGGCCGCGCACGCGACGCGCTGCGCCGACGCGTTGAAGAATGTGAGCTGCGCGCCGATGCTGCCGGCGAACAGCACGCTCGCCGCAACGAGCGCCGCCCAACGCGGCAGCAGGCCGGCGGGAAGCACGCCGGAGCCGCCGCTCCACTTGCCGCGCTGCGTGTTGGCGAGATCTGCCGCGTAGTCGAAATACTCGCTGCAAAAGTGCGTCATTACGTGCGAGCAAGCCACGATTAGCGCCACTGGAATGAACGCCTCAACGCGGAAGCGCGACTCGGTAGTAAGACCGCCGTCACCATTGTCACTGCCAGTGCCGTTTATGTCGCGTGAGAGAGCACCCAGCAGGGCGAGTATGAAGGAGGACGTGATGAACTTGAGTCTCCCAAGCCGCATGAGCGCGAGAAAGGACGACATTTCTGCGGCTGCTCGCGCTCCCATCGGAAATGTTGGCGGAGCACCACACGGAGCGGTCTAGTTTCTTGGCTTGCTCTGGGAGAGACACTCGGGTTACTCGGAGCGGACTTAGCGCTTGCTCTGGAAAGCTGCGATTTACGAGAAATCAGGCCATCGCTTTGCTCGTCTGTCGGTGGAGGTACACATGATGCCCACCCCCTGCACGCGAAAAAGCCCTGCACATTTCAGAAACCTTACACCCGTGGGTTTTTTGCCCTGGTGTTGCACCTATGGTATAAGCACCCGAGACCACTTGCATCTACCAGGTGAATACTCCCAAACTGAGCAACACAGCAAAAGACAAACGTCAGCCGGTTGGCCCCGTCCCTGTTTTTAAGTCAGAAACAGAGGCTACGAAATGTAAGGACAAAATTCGTGAAACGTCGCCACCCAAAACTGATGTTACGTCATGCCACCTGTGCATCAACCAGGTGCGCCTAACAGTTCGTGTTTGTGTGTTAACTCCGACGTGTACATTGCCAATGCTCGGTACATGCCCCTTGTGAGCCTCACAGTCCGCAAACAACACACGTCACTATTCGTGGATGTGGTTACCCAGTCTCATAATCTCTAGAAACTGCGAGAGATGCATGTGCATCTCGCAGCAAGTGCGAAACCTCGCACACTCTCGAGACATAGTGACTAATCCTAGCGCCATTGCACCAGCATAAATCCACTCGACAACCAGCACTGCAATTCATGTTTAGTTATCTTAACAATCTCGCCAGATGCCTCGTCTCTACCATAGGTCTCAGCTCGCGCTGCATATCAAGCGGGCCATTTGTGCCCATCAACAGGCAAACCCTCTGCTGCGCCACGTGGACCTCGCACGTTGGTGTTTCACGCGTTTTGGTGTGAGGCCCGACCGTTCGACCATTGGTCGCGTTCTCAAAGGCGCCGACCGATGGCACGTTCCTGATGACGCCGTGGACGCCATTCGCGTCCGCGGCGGGGCATACCCCGAACTGGAGCGCTCGATGGCACGCTGGATTTCAAATGCAGGCCCCGCTGGCGTCCCTCTCACCCTCGCCACTATTCGCGACCATGTTGCGACGATGGCGCGTGCGAACGGCGCTCCGCCGACTTTCCGTTGCTCCATCGGCTGGGTCCGCCGTGCGCTGCGCCGCCAGAGAGTACGGTGCATGAGCGCGGTCGGCGAGGTGGCCGACCAGGATCTGAACGCAGTGCGCACCACTAAGGAGAAGCTTCCTCAGCTTCTCATGCATCTCGGCGTGCGCCCGCGTGATACTTTCAATTTCGACGAGACTGCGCTGTACATCAGCGTGCTTCCTCGCAAAACGTACGGCACGGGCAGGTCGGCAGGGCGGAAGGTTCCGAAGGACCGCCTTACCGTCGGCTTCTTGGTTAATGCGGACGGGACGCACGCATTCCGTCCGCTTGTCATCTCCAAGGCTAAGTGGCCACATGATTTCAGGCCGGACTTCGACCCCGAGGAGTATTGCTACTGGCGCAACACCGCTAAGGGGTGGATGACCAAAGCCGTGAGTTTGTTTTTACAATTTCTAAAAGCCTCGTTATTATCGTACCCGTTGTTGCCTATGTTTGTGATCATGATAAAGCCCCATAACAAAAATTTGAAAAACAAACATGTTACAGCCTGTGCTTTTTAAAAGCCTCGTTATTACATGTACCCGATGTCGGCTATGTTTTTTATCATGACAAAGCCTCCTAACCTACCTCAAGTTCGCATTGTAGGAACGTGCTCTGAACCATGTCACTGGTCATTCACCTAGAAGGTACACCTGATGCGCGTTATAGTCCCCCGTCGTTCCCTTGTCCTCTGGGCTTATAACCGATCTGCGCTTTTCGCATGGTTCGTCAACATCGCCTGGGCCGTCGGGTGCTTTTAAAAAGCACACGCGGTAACATGTTTGTTTTTTCCATGTATAGTGTTGGGCGACATCCTTTGTTGCGAGCTAATGCACTGGGTTACCACTTTTATCGAGACCAGACTATCACATGCAATTACAATTCACCTCTCCCTTCATCACAAACATCAGTGAACGAATGGGATAGCCACAACTGTCTCTGCCGCGACAAACAACCCCCCCCCCCCCCCCCCCCCCACCCCCTTCCCCGGCCCTGCTATGTAATGCAGTCACCGTTTACCACATGTGTGCATGAGTCGTGCACACTTGTGCAAATGCTGAAATTTGCACAATGCAGAGTGAATTTCACAGCCTCATCCACTCTGCCGCAGCGAGATATCCGCTCATCACGGCGGGAGCGCCAGCGTCGATAAGCTCCTGCCGGCGAGCAGATTGGGCAACCCAGTCAGGGGTCGGCACCGTCATCCATGCCGGCAGAAGGCGACCGCGGCGACGTGGAGTCTCTGCCGGCGGGGTGTCCTCGTTTGTCGGCGCTGGCGGCGGAGTAGCGTTAAGGTTAAGTGCCGGGCTTGCGCGCTCCATCCGCGCGATGATCATGGGGTTGCGGATGTCAAACAGCGCGCACAAATCCCTCGGCGTGATGCACGTCGCACGCGCGTACCCAATGAGCATCTCGCAGGCGGCGCGTGCAGTGCGACGAGCTTCGCGCGTCGCAGGGTTGTTATCGTCGTACACCGCTTGCATCGCCGCCGGCGCCTCCCAAATATGCGCCGTCTGCGCCGACGCCGGCTCCCGCGCCAGGGGGTCCTCGCCCGGATCGGCGCACGTCGGCTGGTTGTCATCAATTCCGACGAACTCTGCCGCAGGCAGCGCGGACGACCCGAGGCCGAGACGATCGATTAAGACGCCTACGTCGTTCAACTCCTCGTCCAGGCCAATGTCACCCCCAGCCTGGACTTGTGGGTCGCCGCTCTGTTCCACGTGCGGGAGTTCCATCGCCCACGCCCGCGGTAGGCACTCGGTGCGCCACCAGCAGCGCTGGATAGTGACGTGCGGGATATTCATCCACGCGTCATGGAGCCATTCCAGCACGCGACAGAGGTTCGGCTTGAACCTTGCCGCCGCGGAAGTCGCGCCGTCAGCAGTCCACATGCCGGTGAAGGCGCGGAGCCAGTGCTGGCGGTACCGCGCCTTCGTCATGGCGATCATCCCCTGGTCGAGTGGCTGCGTGAAGCAGGTGGTGTTCGGCGGTAGGTAGACGAGGCGCACGTTACTGAGCTTTCGCGTGCGGAACCCGAAGAGGTCCTCGGTTTCTGCGCCCTCGGTTGTCAGGGTGTGACTGCTCGCGTTGTCGAGCAGCACGACGACTTGGCGGCCCTCTGCGTACATGGCGGTGTCCAGCTGCTAAAAAAAGTGCGTGAAGAGCTGCAACACAAAGGGGTGTAGGCGAAGTTGGGGTAGGTTAGGAGGCTTTGTCATGATCAAAAACATAGCCGACATCGGGTACATGTAATAACGAGGCTTTTAAAAAGCACAGGCTGTAACATGTTTGTTTTTCAAAATTTTGTTATGGGGCTTTATCCTGATCACAAACATAGGCAACAACGGGTACGATAATAACGAGGCTTTTAGAAATTGTAAAAACAAACTCACGGCTTTGGTCATCCACCCCTTAGCGGTGTTGCACCAGTAGCAATACTCCTCGGGGTCGAAGTCCGGCCTGAAATCATGTGGCCGCTTAGCCTTGGAGATGACAAGCGGACGGAATGCGTGCGTCCCGTCCGCATTAACCAAGAAGCCGACGGTAAGGCGGTCCTTCGGAACCTTCCGCCCTGCCGACCTGCCCGTGCCGTACGTTTTGCGAGGAAGCACGCTGATGTACAGCGCAGTCTCGTCGAAATTGAAAGTATCACGCGGGCGCACGCCGAGATGCATGAGAAGCTGAGGAAGCTTCTCCTTAGTGGTGCGCACTGCGTTCAGATCCTGGTCGGCCGCCTCGCCGACCGCGCTCATGCACCGTACTCCCTGGCGGCGCAGCGCACGGCGGACCCAGCCGATGGAGCAACGGAAAGTCGGCGGAGCGCCGTTCGCACGCGCCATCGTCGCAACATGGTCGCGAATAGTGGCGAGGGTGAGAGGGACGCCAGCGGGGCCTGCATTTGAAATCCAGCGTGCCATCGAGCGCTCCAGTTCGGGGTATGCCCCGCCGCGGACGCGAATGGCGTCCACGGCGTCATCAGGAACGTGCCATCGGTCGGCGCCTTTGAGAACGCGACCAATGGTCGAACGGTCGGGCCTCACACCAAAACGCGTGAAACACCAACGTGCGAGGTCCACGTGGCGCAGCAGAGGGTTTGCCTGTTGATGGGCACAAATGGCCCGCTTGATATGCAGCGCGAGCTGAGACCTATGGTAGAGACGAGGCATCTGGCGAGATTGTTAAGATAACTAAACATGAATTGCAGTGCTGGTTGTCGAGTGGATTTATGCTGGTGCAATGGCGCTAGGATTAGTCACTATGTCTCGAGAGTGTGCGAGGTTTCGCACTTGCTGCGAGATGCACATGCATCTCTCGCAGTTTCTAGAGATTATGAGACTGGGTAACCACATCCACGAATAGTGACGTGTGTTGTTTGCGGACTGTGAGGCTCACAAGGGGCATGTACCGAGCATTGGCAATGTACACGTCGGAGTTAACACACAAACACGAACTGTTAGGCGCACCTGGTTGATGCACATGTGGCATGACGTAACATCAGTTTTGGGTGGCGACGTTTCACGAATTTTGTCCTTACATTTCGTAGCCTCTGTTTCTGACTTAAAAACAGGGACGGGGCCAACCGGCTGACGTTTGTCTTTTGCTGTGTTGCTCAGTTTGGGAGTATTCACCTGGTAGATGTGAAAATAGGAAAACAGGAATGAATGAACTATGAATGAAAGCAGTACAAATATGAAACCCTAACTGGGTTGTACCCCCTATGGGATACCCCACTACAGCCTACACAGCAGTATAAGCTATAGATATGTTCTGACACACCCCCATAGGCAAAGTGGGGGAGAACAAGGGGTCACAAGACCAGTCAAGCAAGACAAAGCAAAGCTCAGGGTGGATCACAAAGTCACCACACAGTCCGAGCACAAGAGCAAGGCCAAAGGCCAGTTCACAAGCAAGAGTACAGACATATATATAAAGCTAGACAAGCAAGAGCAGGTATATATATATGTCACAGTACAAGTGAAGTCAAGAGGAGAGCAAGTGAGGCAAGACAGGCACAAGACCCAGCTGGGTGCAGAAGCGCTGATGGTCACAAGGCGCAAGTGCCTTGGTGAACACATCAGCAGTGTTGGCCTCAGAGGCCACGTACGCAAGTCGCAACTGACCACGCTGCTGCAGCTCACGAGCAAGGAAGTAGCGGAGAGCAATGTGCTTCGTTCTGTGCTCCAAGCGCTGCTCTCGACACAAGGCCAGCATAGCCTTGTTGTCTACGTACAGCACTGGAGGAGAACGAGGCGGCTCTCCAAGGTCAGTCAGCAGGTAGGTGAGCCAGCGAAGCTCCTGTGCAGCCATGGCCCCGGCGTAGATCTCAGCCTCACAACTGGAGCCGAGAACCGAAGACGAGCGAGTAGACCGCCACGAGACAGAGCCGGAACCAAGGCTGAAGGTGTAACCCTGTGACGACCGCTGCGTAGCCTGGTCGTCAGCCCAAGAAGCGTCCGCGTGGCCGGTAAGGACCACTGGACTCCGCCCTCCAAGCACTAGCCCCATGCCCGACGTACTGCACAGGTAGCGCAATACCCTCTTCGCTGCAGCCATGTGCTCCGGTCTGTGTCTCCCAGGAGCAACATAGCGTGCAAGAATGCTCAGAGGGTATGCAAGGTCAGGTCGTGTGCAGGTCATCAGGTACATGAGGCAGCCAACAAGCTCCGCATACGGACCACTCGACTCTACGGACTCATCCGAAGGCAGAGCTGAGAGTGAGTGGCGAGTAGGCAGAGGAGTGGCCTGAGGCGAGGAGTACGTGAAGCCGAAGCGCTGAAGGACCTGCTGCACCATGTGTGACTGAGTCAAGGTAATGGTGCGGCGTGCTCTGTCCCGAGTGATCTGCAAGCCAAGGTAGCTGCGCAGTTCACCCAGGTCTGTGCACGTGTGTCTCTTCAACAGCTCGGACTTCACGTAGGCGAGTCCAGCAGTGTCCGCTGTGGCAAAGACCAGGTCGTCGACGTACACGAGGATGTAGAACGGCGGCAGGGAAGTGTCGGTGCGAAGAAACAGCGACGGGTCAGCAGTAGAAGGAGCAAACCCAAGAGCCGCAAGCGTAGTCCTCAGTGTGTCGTGCCACTCACGCGGTGCCTGGCGGAGACCGTAGACTGGCCGTCGGAGGCTCCACTGGGTGCCAGGAGGGAAAGTCCCAGTGAAGCCAGGTGGACGGCGAAGCCAGATCTCCTCGTGCAGGCTACCCTGCAAGAACGCAGTGCTGAAGTCGAGAGAGTGAAGCTCGTAGTCGCGCTGAGCGGCTATGTGCAGCAGCACCCGAAGAGTAGTCATCTTCGGGGTGGGAGAGAAGGTCTGAAAGTAGTCAACTCCCTGCCGCTGACTGAAGCCACGAGCAACGTACCGTGCCTTGAAGACAGGTGGAGAGCCCGGCGGCCGCTTCACCCTGAAGATCCACATGCCACTGACGATGTTCGCCCCAGGAGGGGGAACCGCGTCAACGTAGGTGCCTGTGGACTTCCAGGAAGCCATCTCTGCATCCATAGCTGCCTGCCACTGAGAGGAGTAGGGACCCTCTACGGCCTCCGCGTAAGAACGCGGAGTCGGGATGTCTAGTGCATCCGGGTCTCCCTCAGGGGCAAGCAGTACAGACGCGAGATGAGGTGAAGCAGCCGCTAGACACTGTAACTCCTCCTGCCTGTCCTCTAGGACGTCCGTGCCAAGAGCACACTCACCCCCGACGGACGGAGGACAGACAGACGCAGACCCAGCAACAAGACTAGCAGCGTAGTCGAGACGACAGCGAGCAGCAAAGTCGACGAGCTCAGCGACTAGAGCAGACGCAGCAGTGGACTCAAAAGAGGGGTCAGTGACGACAGTAGCAAGCAGACGCGTGACAGTGGGACTGGCAGCACGAAGAGAGTCCGACTCAGGGTCCGCAAGCGCAGGAAGAGAGGACTCAGGAGGAGAAGGCAAAGGGGCACGCAGAGGAGCAGTGGACGGACGTAAAGACATCCGGTGCGTGCCAGGGACAGGAGGAGGACGCTGACGCGAACTGCGACCACTAGCGCGAGCAGCACGAACAGGCGACGCGGGACGAGACGCAGGCTCACGACGCTCAGCAAGACCTCCAGTAGGACCAGTGTAAGGAGAGGGAGCAGGCAGTGGAGAGGAAGGCTCCAGTAGGGGCTGCGACTGGACAGGCGGTGGACCCTCTACTGGAGGAGAAAGACCAAGAACCTGCTGAAGGAGCGGAACGAAGTACGGCCGAGGCCGCGCGGCAGCTCCAGACTCAGCAGGGACAGCACCAGCACCCTCAGCGACAGCACCAGCGCCACCCAAACCTCCAGCGGCAGGACCAACAGCAGCAGGCTCAGCACGAACGCCCTCAGCAGCTCCAGCTCCAGGAGGACCTGCAGGGTCAGCAGCTCCGGGACCGGCTGCACCCGCACCCTCGACGGTCGAAGAAGCTCCAGCTCCAGCTCCAGCAGCACCTCCAGACTCAGCTGCACGCCTCCAGCGGCGAGCGAACCACTCGCGCAGCTCCTGTGGAGAGAGGGGCTCCCGGCGAGACGCAGCAGCAGGAGAAACCCCAGGCTCAGCAGCTCCAGACGCAGCACCCCCAGGCTCAGCAGCTCCAGGCACAGCACCCCCCGGCTCAGCACCCCCAGGCTCCGCACCCTCCGCAGTAGCACCGTCAGGCCCAGCACCCCCAGCAGTAGCACCCCCAGGCTCAGCACCCCCGCGCACAGCACCCCCAGAGTCAGCACCCCCAGGCTCAGCACCCGCAGCAGCACCAGAGTCACCAGTAACCTCGACCGGGTCAACGGCGTCTACCTGGGACACACCTGAGGGGGCAGGAACCTGAGGGGGGAGGGGGTCTACCGGGGGGGGAACCGGCACAAGGAAGTCCGGGGGAGGGGGGAGGGAAGGAGTGCGGTAGGGGAAGAGACGGTAGAAGGGGACTGACTCGTCGAACGTGACGTCCTGGGAGGACAGAACACGACGAGAGGAGGGGTGGTAAAACTGCCACCCTGGGGCGTCAGTGGGGAAGCCAAGGAAGACACAGGGAGCAGCACGAGGGGACAGCTTGTCCGCAGACAAGTCGCGGACAATTGCCCGAGATCCCCAGACACGGAACACAGACGCATCGCCAACCTTCCCCGTCCACAGCAAGGCTGGGGACATCGCTGGCCGAGAGACCCGGGGGTGAAGGTTGAGCTGATGCGCCGCGTACCTCACCGCAAACGGCCACAGAAAATGGGGGGCAGCCGCATGCATCATGGACGTACGAGCGACATCCATGACCATGCCAATGCGGCGCTCAGCAATCCCATTTTGCTGTGGTGAGTCCGGAAGCGTGAAGGTCTGGCGGATCCCCCGTGCACGACAGTAGTCTCGCAGAAGGCGAGAAGAGAAGTCTCCGCCTCTGTCAGAGTGCAGACGCAGAACAGGAAAGTCCGAGCCGAAGCTCTTCCTGAGCTGGAGACGAGCCTCGCGGATCCAGTCGATCAGCACCTCAGTGACCGCACCCTTGCTGCGCAAGGGGAGGACTGTGGTGTAACGCGAGTAGTCGTCAACCACCAACAGGAAGTAGCTCTCGTAACCCTGCCCACGGACGGGGGCTGGGCCCCACACATCCATGTGAAGCGTCTGCAGGGGAACCTCTGTCGGGGGGAAGTGGGAGGAGTGAGGAGTAGCCCGGAGGCGACCCTCGACACAGGGGACACAGGAAGGTCCTGGCCCGGAGGGGAGAGGAGGGAGAGACTGGGGAAGACCAGAGACAAGGACACGGGAAGCCATGCTCCGAAGACGGGGCAAGGAGGGGTGGCCAAGACGGTGGTGCCACAGGAGAGTCTCGTGAGACAGGAGGCGACAAGAACAGGGGGCAGACTCAGGACCTGACCGGGACGCAGCAGCAAGTACCTGACCCGACGCAGCCACCTGACCAGACGCAGGGATAGGAGGAGACTCAACGGTCAGGGTGTAGAGACTCGACCCCGGCCGACGTGAGAACGTGGCCAGGTGTCGGCCTGTGCGAGCCTCCGTGCAGTGGGTCACCCTCTGACGCGCAGGAGTGAACTGGTGAACACCCCCATCCTGCAGGTCCGCTCCACTCACCAAGTTCGTAGAGAACGAGGGAAGGTACAGACCCGACAGGGTGCCCGAAGGGGCAGCCGGACACGGGAGGACAGTGGAGAAGTGAGACAGGACA